ATATGAGTCTCACCCACCGCTTCTTTGACAGACACACCCAAATAGAATATTTATCAAATAAATGACTCCCTGTGATCCAGTTCAGTTGACATATTAACTACTTCAGTTTCCGTTGGCGTACCTAATATTTTTGAACTCTGTCTATCTCACAAAACCAAATACTTCAAGCTGGGAAAGACTAGGTGTTGGGAGAAGAGAGACGTATGGGGCAAGTTGACCTGGAACATACATACCCCTAAACTTCCCTCAGCCTGGTTTCTTGTCCCTGATGAGCCTTAGAGTCACCGGATTACTGTTGGTCTTGAATGCTACCTCTGGCTGACCTCCTGATTTACAGGTGTGGAAGGCAGGGCTCTACGGCCTCAGGTCTACAGAGCTGCCAGCTGATTCTGAGTCATCACTGGGTGGGAGTTCAGCACAGATCTGTTCTAAGATATTATCACAATAACTTTCCTAATGCCCTGGCTTGCCAAGCCTGCCTGCTAATCAAGGACTTCACAAGGCTCAGAGCTTGCTCTTCTTTAGCCACAATAGCACATGTTCTGTACGGACCTTTTCTCTAGCAAGCCGATGTACAACCTGAGCATCACCACATCTCTTCCCACCTTCCCTCTCTGACTGAGGGTTGAGGTTCTAAGGGTCAGCATAAGACATGTGGTAGATCCTTAGGGGACAGGAGTTGGAGATACTGTATCCATCTTTAATGCAGTCAGTCCTACTGTTTCCTTGCAAAGTTGATGTTGGCTATTGATTGCAGGCCTATCTTGTCCCTAACTAGCTGCTACTTTTCTTTTTTCTTTTTCTTATAACTTCCATTGTTTTGGTAAAAGTTTGTATGGTTATCAAATGCCTTCATAGGCTTTAGCAAAAGGGTATAAATTTTCCTCCATTTAGCCCATGTAATTCCTATTTCATATTATTAGAGATCCTAAATTGTTGTTGAAAATACATGGTATTGTATTTTCAATACATGGCTAATAATAAACATAAACATAATAATAATAATATTTATTATAATAATAAACATCATTAGCCCTATAATTATTATAGTGGTATTATTTAATCTGTGATCATAATCAGTAAGACAGAGATACCTGTTAGATTTTATAATTGCCTTATTTCACCTTGGGCTGGGCAGATAATTCACCTACACCACCTCAGTCTCCTAGCCTGCATCCCTTGCCATCTGCCTTCACCTTTCTTTTCTGGGCTACCTTCCATCCATAACCTTATAAATACTTGCTTAAATATTTCATCTTGGTGTTTCTTTCCACGTCATTCTTGGAGTCCTTTCTCCTGGCCCACATGGTTCTCTCTTCACCTAACCCCATGGGAGTTTCCTCCTTCCTCGTCTCTTCCCATGATTCTCCTCTCCCAAAGTCCGCAAACTTTGCCCATGCCCACCCCATTCTGCCCTGCCAGGTTTAGGCCTTTTAATCAGCCAATCAGGAATAATTTCTTAGATAGGGTTAAACAGCAGTACTTGGGGCACATGGCAATTTGCTCATAAACAATAAGAATCGAAGGGGGCAAGCAATTAACAAATACAAAATACCAGACCATACTCCAACTCTAAAATGAACTATCCTTGCCTTTTTCATTCCTACAGAAATTCCTATTTAATGAAAATAAGTTAGCCTAAGTCAATGTGTGTGTGTATGTGTGTGTGCACATGAATATATATGTGTGCATGTGTGTTTACTCTCATGTTGTACATAGACTTTATTGGCTTCTTAATTAGCAGTAGTGTTCTTTTTTTTAATTTTATTTTTTTCTTATCAGTTACATTTTATTAACTCTGTATCCCAGCTGTGTCCCGATCCCTCATTCCCTTTCAGTCCCTCCCTCCCTCCCTCATCTCCACCGTGCCCCTTTCCAAGTCCACTGATGGGCGGACCTCCTTCCCATTCATCTGACCCTGTTTTATCAGGTATCTTCAGGACTGGCTGCAAAGCTCTCCTCTGTGGCCTAACAGGACTGCTCCTCCCTTGGGGGGGTGGGGAGGCCAAAGAGCCAGTCATTGAGTTCCTGTTAGAAATAGTCCTTGTTCCCCTCACTATGGGAAACCAATTGGTTACTGAGCTACCACAGGCTACATCTGAGCAGAGGTTCTAGGTTATATCCATACATAGTCCTTGGTTGAATGTCAGTCTCAGAAAAGATCCTGTGCCCAGATATCTTTGGTCCTTGTGGAGCTCCTATCCTTTCCCTATCAGACTAACTCCCCTTCTTTCTTATGATTCCCCGTACTCTGCCAAAGGTTTGGTCATGAGTCTTTGCTTTGAAAACACTGCTAGTTAGAGTCTTTCAAATGCGCTCAGTAGACTCCTGTCATATGTTCAATACACATCCCATCTGTCTTTCTAAACGAGGATTGATCATCTTACCCCATGTCCGCTCTCTTGATTATCTTTTTTAGGTGTACAGATTTCATTATGTTTATCACATCTTATAGGTCTATATAAGTGAGTGTATACCGTGTTTGTCTTTCTCCTTCTGGGATATTTCACTCAGGATGATCTTTTCTAGATCCCACCATTTGCCTGCAAATTTCATGATTTCCTCCTTTTTGATTGCTGAGTAGTATTCCATTGTGTAAAAATACCACAATTTCTGTACCCATTCCTCCGTTGATGGACATCTGGGTTGTTTCCAGGTTCTGGCTATTACAAATAAAGCTGCTACAAACATGGTTGAGCAAATATCCCTTTTATGTACTTGAGAAAACTTTGGGTATATACCTAGCAGTGGTATAGCTGAGTCTTGAAGAAGCACTATTCCTAATTGTCTTAGAAAGCGCCAGATAGATTTCCAGAGTGGTTGTACCAGTTTACATTCCCACCAGCAGTGGAGGAGGGTTCCCCTTTCTCCACAACCTCTCCAGCATGTGTTGTCCCTTGAGTTTTTCATGTTGGCCATTCTGATGGGTGTAAGGTGGTATCTCAGGGTCATTTTGATTTGCATTTCCCTGATGGCTAATGAGGATGAGCATTTCTTTAAGTGTTTCTCTGCCATTCGATATTCCTTTGTCGAGAATTCTGTTTAGCTCTGTTCCCCATTTTTTAATTGGATTACTTGGTTTGCTGCTTTTCCGCTTCTTTAGTTCTTTGTATATACTCGATATTAGTCCTCTGTCAGATAAAGGGTTAGTGAAGATTCTTTCCCAATCTGTAGGCAGTCGCTTCTGTAAAGCAGAGTTCTTTTTTTTTTACATTTTTTTCAATTATTTATTTATTTTTTTATTTTATTTTTCTCATTAGTTACATTTTGTTAATTCTGTATCCCAGCTGTATCCCTCATTCCCTCCCCAGTCCCACCCTCCCTCCCTCATCTCCTCCCTGCCCCTTTCCAAGTCCACTGATAGGGGAGGGGAGTTTGATGTGGAAAGGATAGGAGCTCCACAAGGACCAAACATATCTGGACACAGGGTCTTTTCTGAGATGGACACTCAACCAAAGACCATGAGAGGATAAAACCTAGAACCTCTGCTTGGATGTGACCCGTGATAACTCAGTAATCAATTGGTTTCCCATAGTAAGGGGAACAAGGACTATTTCTAACAGGAACTCAATGACTGGCTCTTTGACCTCCCCACCTCCCAAGGGAGGAGCAGTACTGTTAGGCCACAGAGGAGGACTTTGCAGCCAGTCCTGAAAATACCTGACAAAACAGAGTCATATGAAAGGGGAGGAGGTCCTCCCCTATCAGAGTTCTTTTTTTTTTAACACTTAAACTGTAAATAACACGGGACACATTTATCCCCTGAAAGTGTGAGAGGATTCAGCAGAAAAATTGCAGATGGTTATACTAGGATGATAGTCTTTTAAATCTTAAAAATATTGACCAAGGTTATTGATTTGGGGGTGTTATTTACTAATTTCAGCCATTTTGTCATTAATTTTTTTCAGAAAGTTATTAGTATTTGTAATTGATCAGCATAAAATTTTCTGCTGTGCTTTTATATTTCTTTCTAAAGACCATTTTTATTTCTAATTTTATTTGGGTTTCTTTATTATATTTATCAAAGGTTGATTTTATAGATAATGCCACTGAACTGAGCAGAACAATTTATTTACCTTATTATTCTTGCTGTATTGCTGGCTTATTTTACAACTTACAGGCCGTTTTCTTTATCACTTCCTTCCTCCCATTTTTGTTCCTTTCTTTCTATTATCTATGAATTGACTGCTTCGCTTATGTTTGATTCTGTCTTGTTTAATAATGAATGCATTTGAGGCTATGGGTTTGCTTGTGAACATAGCCATTCTAATTTCACAGCTATCACACAGGAGAGAGGAATCAATAGTTATTGAACACACACCCTGTCAGATGCTATGTTAAGTATTCCACATCCTCCCTCATTTGCAAAATAGAAGGACCCATCCTGCTTTGTAAGTCTGTTGGGAGCCTGCAGGGAATAGGCTAGGAGTAGAGCAGCTGGTGCTCAGGCAGAGTTTGATAATTGGTGGCCATCGCCCTGCCTCAGAGTTCGCTTCTCTCAACTGTTCCTACATTTTAACACCACGTTGCACATGAAGGGAAATTAAACTACAGCAAAGATGAAGAAAATATTCAAGGTCTCCAGGTCATCTGAGAAGAAAGGTCAGCGCAAGATTCCATCTGCAGTCTGTCTGCAGAGGTCTTCCAGACACCATACCCTCCTGTGCAAGGCACAGGAACAAAGCGAACAGAACAGCATCAGAAGAACTAAGCAGTGGGTAAAGATAACTACAGTCCTGCCCCAAGCCCTTGTAAGCCTCCACTGTCTCCGGTTGTATGTGTATGCATGCGTGCACATATATGTACAGCTCACATCTGTATGGCTCGCATGCACGTAAAAGCCAGAGGGCAGCTTCAGCTGTAATCCATCCTTAGGTACCATCCACCTTGATGTTTTCAATGAAGTCTCTCACTGTTACCTGAAGTTTGCCAAGTAGGCAAGGCTAATTGGTGAGCAAGCTCCAAGCATCTGCTTGTGCTGGGATTCTGAGGGAGTTCCATCACATCTGGCTTTTTACTCTATATATTCCATCTACTTTGATTTATCTTTATCATATTTTTAATGTTTGAAAACATAATATAATTACATCATTCCCCCTTCTCTTTCCTCCTTCCAACCCCTCCCATGTATCTCCTCTTGCTCTCTCTCAAGTTCGTGGCCTTTTTCTTTAATTGTTGTTACCCACATCCGTACATACACACATTCCTAAAATACAATTGCAACTTAATCAGCCCCTATAATCGTACTTATTTGTATATGATTTTAGGGCTTACCATTTGGTATTGGGTAAGCAATTAGGGGACTCCCCCCTCTATAAGATCATTTCTCCCACTCTCAGCATTCCTGGGTTGCCTGTAGTTATTGTTTCTGTTTTGTGGTTTTGTGTTGTTTGTTTTTGTTTTTAAGACATCTTAACTTTCTTCCTTCCATGTCAGCATGTCTACCAGTACCATCATTGCTCATGTTTAGGCAGACATGTTGAGGAGAGTTTATAGGTATAGCTTCTCTGTCTTTCTCAGAGACACAATCTCACAATAAACTTCCTTTTCTTCTGGCTCTAGTAATCTTTCTGCCCCATCTTCCCCAGAGGTCCCTGAGCCTTTTAAGGGTGCTGGAATTGTGTCGTGAATGTATCCCTTGGAACTGGGCACCGTTTGATTTCTTGTTTTCTGCCTTTTGACCAGTTGCAGTTTTCTTTAATGGTCTCCATCTGTTGCAAAGAGAAGTTTCTTTGATGAGGGGTGAGAACTTCGCTTATCTGTGGGTATAAGAACAAATATTTAGAATGTAGTTAGGGATTATGCTAGTTTGGTGAGGTGGTGGTTGTAGGTTCTCCTTCAAGATCCATGACTTCACTAGCCCCAGGTGATTGGCTAGGTTTCAGGTACCAGGCATGCCTTTCCTCCTGTTGAGCAGGTCTTTAACACGGGGCCTATGAAACTCAGATAATCAGACTTGCTTGAAGGCAAGCACTTTTTGAGCCATCTCCCCAGGCTTCCACTTTCATTTTCAATTCCTATACTGGAGCATTGGGAGTGAATGTCATTATTCAGATAGCAGACTTCCTTTGAGATCTGTAATTCCTTTTCCCAGTAGAAGTAACCATCTGTGGTCACTGAAGTGCCCCCACATTGTTTTAAAGCCAGCGCCACAGCCCATGTACAGGAGCATGGCCCCTCACACAGTCTTTCCTGCTTGAGTGAACTGGAGAGCTTTCCAAGTACACTCTGCACCTAGTTATAACAGAGGGCCCCGTAGGAAAGCCAACCTGTGTCTCTCCCGGAGTCTGATGGGGTCCCTTCACTGTTGACAAAGCAAGTGAAGGCATGTTCTCCCCAGAGAACCCTGGCCGTGCATGGAGGACAGGTAGGATTCTACATCGTGTAGGTCTCTTTCCTTTCATGGATACTTAGGCCCTGATCTCTGGGGAGTTACGTGTCCCTGTAAAAGGAAACAATAGCAGAACAATTATCAAATTATGCAAACATATATAGTAGAAGAAGAGTCACATAGAGAGGTCACAGAGAAAAATCCTGTAGGCTCCTCAAAGGAAACAAAACTAGAGGGCTGGTGGGCCCTGGAGTAGGAGCCACGGCGTTACTCCAGTGTGTCCTAAAAGGGCCTGGAGACGCCCTTAGGAACTCTCCTAATATTCACATCTGCTAAGAGTCCGCCAAGCTCGCCCAGATGTCCCACTTTGATGCTGTAGCATTCCTCTTCTGTGGCAGGCAAGTATACGTGGGCTAGATGCCAGGATAGAGGTCCCCCAGACTGAGTCTGTAAGTACATGAGGTGTGGGCACCTGAGTAGCTTGAAACTTGTGTCCTATGCAGCTTGTGAGTGCAATCTAGAGTTGGGAATGGCCAAGCTGGTTTCTGAGGCATGTTGTTTCTCAAGAAAAGCTTTATTCAGAAAACAAAACAAAACAAACAACAACAACAACAAAAAAAAAAACTGTAGTCCTAATATTTCTCAAAGTCTCATCTGACAAATGGATCCTATTCACTTTTATTTGTTTATAACCGTCTAATAAAACACAGGCTTGTTGGGAGCAGACAGGCTGACTATTTGATATAAGGATCTTCAGACTTTATTTATGAAGTTTCCTTGTAGAGTTTCTTTGTGCATTTATTGCCTGTCTTGTCAGTTACATACACACCCCTTTGACACCTGCTTCCCTGTGAGCAATAAAACCTGAAGAACAAAGGAAGCCTACCTAATTCATATTTTAAGCACCTATTTAAGAATTAACCTCTATCCCTCAAAGGCAAGTGAATGATATTGTTGATACCACACTGACGCAGGAAGGGATGAAAGGCACTCACAGCTTCTCATTGTCTTTTGTAAGGATTTATCAGAGGATCCCCCTCACTTCATCCTGGAAGGTGCAAGCAGATTTGATATCCAGCAAGGAGGAGCAGGTAAAAACTCCATTGCTCCCATTTCAGCCTTTCACCTTGTCCTTCACATGGGAAACCATTGCCTTAATCCAAGTTCATAGGTGTCTATTGAGCTATGAGCTGGATAGTCTGCCCATTAGGGATTCCTCTGACTAGAGAGAGGGGCCCTCTTAGGGTACCTTTGTGATTTCTGCTCTGAGCACAGTGCCTGTCATGAAAGCGCATTCAGAAAATTGATGGTGGTGGCGGTGAAAGAGGCAGAGAGAGAGAGGGAAGCATATTTAGAAGAGCTCACCTTGATACTCATGGAGAAGGTCAAGGCTACTTATCCCTCAAAGGGAAGAGGAGACACCTCCTGCATGGGCTAGCAACTCCCCTATACAGAGGTGGGAAGGGCAAACGTTAGCAAAGAAAAATACAGGTGTGTTTTCTGCAATTATTATAAAATACCATTGCTGACTCAGTTCAGTGGTTAAAAAGTAATGATAATAGTGCTATGAGATCAACCCTAGGCAAATCTTAAAAAAAAAAAGAATTAGAGAGCCAGTTAAACCCATCAATTGCCATAGTTTATGAGGGCTTCCCTGATCTTCCCCACCAGACCACACCGCACCCCATGTTCCCCAGTGCCTATACTACCAGCATTAGCACCTCTTCTCCATCTTGCTTGGAACTGCCTCAGTAAATCTTTCCCCCAATTTTCCTCCCTCAAAGGGCAAAAACCCAGTATAGACTCCAAACCCCCAAATTTTAACTGTTCCAAACTCTGAAATGTTATCACAAGAAGAAAATTATATACCTGATCTCACATGGCAGGTCACAGTCAAAACACAAGTGTAAAAAAATAAGGCTTAAGATTATCTCCAGTCTAAGTATATGAGAGACGTGGAACATAAAGGAACATGTATTTAGATTTGGGTCTCATTCCCAAGAAAATGTATTATGTGAAAATATTACGTTTAAAATAATTTGAAAACATCCTGGTATCAAAGATTTCAGATCTATATTGACTCTGTTCTCAGAGGAAGGGTTGGCAAGTTAGGTATCCAGGACCCATAAAATTTAGGGTGGGATTTTCAGGTATAACCAGTTGCCTTTTACGGCTTTTCCCTTCCTAGGAGACTGCTGGTTCCTGGCAGCACTGGGTTCCCTGACCCAGAACCCGAAGTGTCTCCAGAAGATCCTGATGAAACAAAGTTATTCACACCAGTATGCTGGAATTTTCCAGTTTCGGGTATGTGCACCACAAGAAAATTCCTTCTATGATGGAAAACTCTTTGTGAGTCATGAATTTTCTAATGTCCTGGAAACCTTGAAATGAGAGTGACATCTGTATGTCAGTTACCCTTCCTCCTCCAAAAGCCTTCCTCCTCCTTTTACTTATGGTCCAGCCACACACAGAGAAGATGAGAGCTGAGATATTTGGTAGAAGAAACAGGATGTTGAGGAGTCCTTTGGGCATATGCTGAAGGGTACATAACAATTAGTGAAAGCCGCTGGCCTAGAACTCTAAAGGTGATGACCATTGAGTTTTTGCCTGTTATTCCTGTACCATGCCATGATGCTTGTGACAGGAGTTCGAAAACTACTGCATCTGGGAAGATAAATTCTGCTTCATTATTCATTCTTCTTTTCTCAAAAACCTTCGTAATCCTTGCACATTTCTCTTCCATGGGAATTTTAAAATAATTTTGCCTAATTAAACAGAAAAGCCGCTGTGATGTAGAATGGAGCAGCATATAATTTATGCATTAATTTAGAAAAATTACATTTTTATTGTTTTAATTATTCCTTTCCAGAAACACGGTATATCTTTCTATTTATTCAAAAGTGATTTTATGCCTGCTCATAAAATGTTATAGCTACATTTTCGTATTGGTGCTGTTTCCTTCTTGGTAAATTTATTCTCAAATATTTTACAACTGTATAGCCAATGTGAACTTCTTTTGGCTTTTCTCCCCACAAACACACTTTCCAAGTAAATGTTGCTGGAAAAAGAATAAAATAGCCATCTATTCCGTAAACTGTCTGGAAACCTCACCAAATTCTCTCTCTAGTTCTCCTTTTTCTTCTGTGGTTGAATCTAAATTATTTTAGTTACCTAATGATATAATCTTCAAGCAGGTGGAGTTGTTTCTCCTCTTTTAATGTGCATAGTCATTATTTTGCTCTTTTGCCTTCTCACACCTATTGAGTCAGAGAGACAAGGGTCAAACTCTTACCGCCTATGGATTTTAGTAAGGGACTATTCTGATGCTATCAGCTCCAGTTTGTTAAGAGTTTGATTAGAATTTGTGTGACTGTGTCATGTCTGAAGTTGTTTTCTGTGTTGTGTTATGTTATTGTTTAATCATGTTTGAGTTACACTATCTTTGTAAAGTGAACTATTACATCCTTGGTTATTTGAAAGAATTTGAGTAATGTTTGCTAACCAAACATTCAGGAAAGTAGACAAAAAAAAGAAAGTAAAGGAGATAACAGTTAAATCACCTCACTCTTCTTTTATATGACTTCCTTTACTCTTCTAATATATTCAGCAGCTATTAATTGATTTGCTTAACTTGCTTCTCTTGGAATTATTCTTTTCTAACTTTTATTTTTGAGATAATATAATTACACCATTTTTCTCTATCCTTTTCTCCCTCCAAATTCTCCCTTATATCCTCCCTTCCTCTCTGTCACCCTCATGGCCTCTTGTTAGTATATGTATTTATGTATGTGTACATACTTATTATAAATACCTAAACATAACCTGCTCCATATATTTAATGTTGCTTGCATGAGAACTAGCTTTGGGTACCAGAAGATACCATGCAAACTTTTAAAGGAGGGAGGCAAGCAATAGTCCTCCCCAGCTATGATGCCTATGAACCATGACCAGCATGGCACAATAACCCTAAGTGTTCAGAAGTGACATACATGCATCGGTGATAACCAACAGCTATCTAATTGGACTTAAACTTTCTCAACAAGAGAGAAAACATACCTGAAACTAAAAACCTAGCTGACTAATCATTGCTAGTGAAGTCATTTATCTTAGACAAGAAATTATAACCACTGCTTTACTAAATCAGCACAATTCCTAACACTAATCTAAATATTTGTCCTTATGCCCACAGATAACTGGAGCTACTGATAAATATTTATGCTTCATCAGAAAAACTGTTTTCCGATACAAAAGCTTAAAGCTGCTCCTGGAATTCTCTGATAGTTCATTTGATATCTTTTTTTTAGATTTTTAAAATTTATTTATTTATTTTTATTTTTTAATATTAGTTACAGTTTTTTAACTTTGTATCCCAGCTGTATCCCACTCCCTCATTCCTTCCCAATCCCACCTTCCCTGCTATGTCTGGGCCAGCAAGATGTTTCCACATGTAAGAGCCAACCAAGCCTGAAGACCTGTGTTCAAGACCAGGACCTACAGGCTAGAAGGATAAAACCAATACCAGCATAGTCCTCTGACCTCCACATGTGTGCAGGCACACACACACCCTCTGAAGTTTTTGTTTACGCTTTAATTATCGGTCTTACATTCACTGATATGGGTGTTTTTTGTAAGAAACTTCAACACTCATTGCTTGACAGGCTCTTCCACACTCATTTCTTTGTACCTTGAGATTTTGTTCTATTTTACTTCACCAAAGAGAAGCAGTCCCTTGCATAATTTTCTCAAGCTGCAAGAGAATTTATCTGATCTCAATGAAGAGCCTCTTAGTTTCATCTGGGTTATCCTGTCACGATCTTTCCCCTAAAAATCCCCATTGTCCCACTGTCTTACAGTTTCCATTGTTGTAGGGAAGTCTGGTGTCAGTAAACCATACACGTAGCATGTGATATCAGTCCTCAAGTCTCTAACTGGCTGTCTCTCCCCGGAGTTCAGAAATTTCTCCAGAATACATTCAAATGTGTATAATTTTAAAAGCACTCTTAGGGAGTGGAGATATCTCAGCAGTGCACAGCACATACTGTTCCTACAGTGGACCTGAGTTCAGTTCCTAGGATCCACCTTGAATGGCTTAGACCATCCATAACTCCAGCTTCTGGGGAACTGATGCTGTCTTCTGGTCTCTCTGAACCTGTACTCATACACCCAAGCACACACACACACACATGCATGCATACATACATACATACATACATACATACATACATACATACTTATAATTAAATTTTAAAATATAAACTAAAAGAAATATTCTTGGGCCAGCGAGATGGCACAGTCAGGGCAATATGCACACACACAAACACACACACACACACACACACACATATAGACACACATACATGCACATATTCACAAACTCATACACAGACAATGCACACATACTCTTTCTTGAAGGTAAATGAGACATTAAGCCTAAAGACTAGCTTCCTTCTGTTGCTGGCTTTCATTCCGTCATTGCTCCTCTTTCTCACTCTGTTCACCACTTCCCAAAATCCAGTTAGGCAATACTAGATCTTCTGACAAGCTAGTGACAGTAGTGATCGATCCAAAGAACACACTTAGGGCAGTGTAGACTATCTAGAACGGAACTGAGCATCGGCTCACCATAGGACCGCAGGCATTGCTGGACCATGCCTTGGTTGGTTAGGATAACCAGAGGCCCAGCATGGCGCACTTTGCCCTTTTCTGTAACAATGAAAGTCAGACAGTTACCCCAGGACTCTGCATTTATCCTAAGTGTTCAGTCCCCAGGACCCACATGGTGAAAGACTCCATTGTCCTCTGACCTCCACATGCATGCTGTGGTACACACACAGGCACACACCATGCATGCACACCACGCATGCATGTACACCACCCATACACACAGCATGCACACGCATAAGCAAACAAATGTAGAAAAAACTCTCCAGTATCAGCTACAGTGCTGACTTCTGTAGGTCTCTCCCTGCCACTGTGAGCTTGGACTCTACTTCTCGAAAACACACAGCGCCCAGGCACCTCAGATGCTTTGCCCAAAAAACTCATTACCCTGCCAGGCACGGGGCATTGGAAAAATGGCACCCGCATGGTTTTTGAAGAGTTTAAACATTGTCCATGTCTGCTTCACTAAGGAAACATAGGCATGGCTGCATTCCTGACCATCAGTCAGCTTAGTTTTTGTGTTTACAGTATATTATTTATGCATAGGTATCAACACTTATTTAAACACTATATATATGGCGTCAGCAATCTTATCTGGTGGTCTGCTTGCATAGAGAAAGTATATTTTATCAGTCTTACTAGTGAGAGAAGAATGAGGTGAGCGTGATTTCTAAGATGAAACTGGCCATAATAGTTCCCTTGTCCCAGGGCACCCTCATTTATCCTTCTGGCTACTAAACAAAACAGCCATACAATTCCACAAATCATAGTCCCTCACAACCACCCTGTCCCTCTCACTGGGGGACTCATCTAATTTCACTCTTAGCCTTTTCATCTTAGCATCCATCATTTCCCAGAGGGTAAATCAAGTCAAGGTAAAGTAAGTTTCTTGCCCACTTACTTATTAGATAATAAGAGGTAAAAAACCAAAATTCAGGCACATTTCTACCAAATGGACATTATCCACTCTGTTTACCCAAATCAGTCCAAATTTTGAATGGCCTTCTTGTGTACCCTCTGAAAACTGCAATTAACTTTCCTTGTGCCAGAGCTGTCTGTAGTGCCCTGGCTCCTTAATGGCCATGAGAACATCTCTTTCTTGTTTCCACTGACATCTCCGTCTCTGTTTTCATCTCTGCTCTGATAGTATGTCCTCAGGTGGGTGCAACAATCCTGAGACATCCAGATGCAGAAAGGATGGAGTGGGTGTGAGCACACATCCACGCCTACTTTAGCAACGCTCGCCTGGAGGAGACTTACCTTCGTCTAGTGCAGTCCTAAACCGCAAGTCCTGATGCTCCATCTAGCCTGCTGGAAACAAACAAAGATACTTAGAAGGCTGCCTTTGTAATGAACGTTCCTCATTTGCTGATGTCCCTGGGTGAACCACTTAGAGTTGAATACTAAAGATGAAAGCAGTCTGTGTTGGAGAGGAACAGCTGGCTCATTTGTGCTCTTAGCAGTAAGAGCGCCAGGCACTTTTCATTTCTCTATTATAAGAGCAAGGCCAGCGTGACATGAGGACAGAAGGGCCAGAGTTAGGCTGTCACTCCTCGGTCCTCCTGAGCCAGCCACGTTGTTCTGCCTCCAGGCGTTCGCCCATTCTGTCTTCATCATTTGAGGTGCATTGCAGTATGCCTGCCTGCTTCCTTCCTGGAGCCCTCATCTCCAGCTCGGCTGTCCTGCTCTGTCTCAGCCCTGCATCTGCCACTCTTCTTATTTAACATATGCTCCCCCTGCTGCCCTGCCTGTGCAAGATAGATCTGGAGCCTCCTGTCTATTTGAAATACACACAAGATATATCGAAATAAGGCTATAGTTAATTGCAAAGCCAAAGTAGACCCTACACATATTTCTTCCCTGCCTGGATATCCCCGTGCTACTTGCCTTGTTTTCTTGATTTGTGCCTCGTTTTTTTACTTTACCACTGAAGGTGACATGCATTTGCCCCTTGAGCTGGGAATTTGCACTAGATGGAGTTTGTTATTGGGTCATGAAAGTCATGCCACCAACTCTGTCTTGGCTTAGGTCAGAAAGTTACAGAAACTCCCTCCTTCCCTGGCTATACTAAGGCATATCCTTGTCTTTCTTCCAGTTCTGGCAGTGTGGCCAGTGGGTGGAAGTAGTGGTTGATGACCGCTTGCCTGTCATAGGCAAGAAATTCCTCTTTGTGCATCCTCGAAGAGGCAACCAGGAATTTTGGCCCTGCCTGATGGAGAAAGCCTATGCCAAGTAAGTGTGGGCAAGCCTTGCAGCCCAGTTTCAATCCTGGCTCTGCCTGTCCTGTGTCTTGCCCTCACCGATGCCTCCTGCCAGCTGGCCCTGCAGCTCAAAGTATCTCTTCTGAATGCAAGCGATGTCCTGGGTGTGGTGGCCCACACCTTTGATCCCTGCATTGGGAAGCTGAAGTAGGCAGATCTTTGTAGCCAGCTTGGTCTACAAAGTGAGGTCCAGGCCAGCCAAAGCTACATAGTGAGACCTTGTCTAAAAACAAGCAAATAAATGTCCATTTGAGCATCAGAACCCTTATCACCCAGCAAAACAATCTCTGTAAGTAATTGCCAAATGCAAGGTTTGGTCCCGGGGCTGTGATGAGGGACCCGCAGACACACAGTGAGCTGTGGGACAGACAGCTCTAGGTCCATGTAACATGAAATATAGGCAGATATAAGAATCCAGATGAAATATAGTTGTCCTTTACATCTGAAGGACCCTCCTATGGATATCACAAGTCATGATGCTCAAGATCCTTATGTAAAATGGAATAGTATTTACATGTAAACTACATATATTGTGTATGCCACATATAATATCTAACGTGATATAAAGCCTATGTAAATAATTATTATACTGTATTGTTTAGGAAATAATAACAATGGATATTTGCTCATGCTCAGTATTGACAAAATTTGTTTCCAACATTTTCAATCCACGGTTGGTTTAATTGTGGGTGCAAAGGCTGCAGATTCAAAGGACCGACTAGAAGAGTATAATCCTGCTCATAGAAAATCCTGCTCATGATCTGATTGGGGGATAAATGAGGAAATAATCCTGACTCTCTGGCCTACAGAGAGGAGAGCTGAGGTTTCTGAAAGAGTTGACATTTCAATGGAGATGGAAAGATGGGTAGGACTCTACAGTGAGGGGAGAGTTATGGGTAAGGGCAATGGGTAGGGGCAGTGAGAGGGAAACAGACAAAAGCTTTGGTGAAACACTTTAAACTGTGGTCCAGGAACTGAGGGTGTTATGTGGCTGCTATGAGATCTCATTTGTTTGGGGGATGGTAGATGAACAGAACTTACTCCTTTCTTATAATTCACACAGGATGTTCAGGGACCACTTCTAGTCATGACAAGCTCAGAATTTGCATGCACCCCAGCTCACATATTTTCTTTGGGCTTTAAGGGTTTTTTTGTTCAACAGATGCCCACCGAACATTTTACCATATGCCAGGCACTGTGTTTGGCACTGCCTCAGACACTTGAGCAGTCTGGTTTAAGTGAATATGTATAATGATATGCATACACACATCTACACAGAGCAAGGCACTATTCTAAAGACTCTTACAATAACCAAAGGGGGAAAAAAAAGCAAATTGTAAGGTATGACAGCATCCCTCAATGTTCCCAGACTGCAAAAGTCAAAGCTAAGTAAGGCCAAGTGACTGGTATTAGAGACAGCCCTGATGGAAATGCCCTAAGACAACTTTCTAAGGGCCACTTTGCTACTCTTAGATTATTCACAAGCACATGTCACACCCCACAAGAAAACTAGAAGAAGTCTTAGAGGACAGACCATATCCCAGAGGCACTGTGGATATGGTATGAAAATCCATGCCAGGATACACAGGTACCATTGGGTGGCTGGACTCCATAGACAGCCACACAGCAGCCAGAAGCCACAGATGCAATCTATGCCAGGCTAAGCCTCATAGTGTGGGCTCCAAAGAAAAGGGGCAAGAAACACTGAGCAGTAAAATAAAAAGGCATTTATGGACATGGAAATTACATTAACTGCAATGTGCATTTAACAAGAATACAGAAGAAAAAGCATTAAGGATTAAATATCCTGAAATGGACTGTGGTTAGAGGGAGAAGAAGGAAAGAAGGAAGGAAGGAAGGAAGGAAGGAAGGAAGGAAGGAGAGAGGGAAGGAGAAAGGGTGGGAGGGGAGAGGAGGAAGGAAGAAAAGAAGGAAGAAGGAAAGAAGGAAGAAGGAAGGAAAGAAGGAAGAAGGAAGGAAAGAAAGAATGAAGGAAGGAAAGAGCCCAGCAGCCTGTCTGACTTCCTATCTTATCTTTGCTCACTCCACTAACTTCACTTTCCTTCACTCTGCTTCCTGGCACCTCATGGCAGAGCTTGGCCTTGTGGCCTTGCTCTTTCTCCCTTTCACGCTTCAGTCTCCTCCTTTTGACCATATTTCCTGTTCCTTATAAGGTTCTTGTTACAGAAACTGACAGTTTAACTGGCCAAGGTCACATTGGGTCCCTGCTGGCCTTCTCAACCATGGCCAGGGCTCAGTGGCCACAGAGTCCTGTAAACAAGAGCTATGGAGGAGAGCATCTACTACATGGGCAGAGACACAGAGAACAACGCTTCAGAGGGGAGAGGGAATCACAGAGTCATAGCTCACAGGTGAAAGACCACCAAGCACCCCACATCCTTGAGAAAAGGAATAGAAGGGTCATAGAGTTGGAAGGTCCACATTCACACATGAGAAAGCTGAACCTCCAAGCCATCATAAGACAATAGGTACAAGCAGTTGAATCCCTTAGTCACCTGCTCGGGACGCCTTGTGGCGGGGCGTCAGCCTGGCTAGATTCACAATCTAGATGAACACGTTCCTCCAGACTTCTTTGTGTTTTTCTTTCTTTCCTTCCTTCCTTCCTTCCTTCCTTCCTTCCTTCCTTCCTTCCTCCCTCCCTCCCTCCCTCCCTCCCTCCCTTCCTTCCTTCCTTCCTTCCTTCCTTTCTTTCTTAAGACAATTTGTGAAAAACTAAAGTTGTTTCTCCCTTCTATTGCTGGAAAGAGATGTGTGTTTGCATTGGAGAAAGAAGTCCAGGTAAGAGCCAGGGCTGTTGAAGCAGAGCAGGCGTTCTGAGAAGTTAATTCACTTCTAAGCTACTTACACAAACATTGCCATTATCTTTCCAGGAAGGATCCCACCCTTATCACTTCTGGGCCTCATTTTTTCCCCCTTATGTAGCCTGGTGTTTCACTGGGAGAATTAGAAAGCTTGAGGATGGAAATGATGACTTTGACCCCATTTTATTAACTGCCGACCTAAAGCAATCATTCAGCTTGAAAAGAAATGGGAGTATAGACTCAAATCCCACATTCTGCCACCTGGAGAAATGTAGCTGGGGATAAAGTGTTTCAGACTATCAAAGCTGTGTAAAAGCTTTGCCTCCACACCCACCCACCCAAGGAGGACATTACCAAATGCAGAAGTGAAGGCCAGCATTTCGGAGCCTGGTTGAGGCCTCTGTGAACATCATGACCTCCCTCCTGTGAGGGATGAGAAAACTAAGGCTCAGAGAGAGCACATCACTTGTCCAAGGTCCTACAGTAGTCAAGACCAAGCTGAGACCAAGAGACGTCCCCCCCAGTTACTTTCTTCCTGCCAGTTCTTGGTATTGTCAGCTCTTGGTATTGTTTCAGGTTTGTTGCCTGAAACAGGACACCACAGAAACATGGAGAGAATAGCCTTCTGTGGCAGAGGCCACTGTCCCTCTGAGGGCATGGAAACAGCCCAGTGAACACGTAAGGAAGGAAGGAAGGAAATGGTCTGTTTCCATTTCCCACTTATCACTGTGCCGGGGAGTCTGGAAGTAAATTAATCAGTTCAGGCAAGTGTCAGGCAGAGCAATCTGTGTTTGGAAATTGAAGAGACAGGGACAAGCTGTGGCAGGCTGTGTATCAGCCAGCGTGGTGTCTCTGTGGGTAAGAACTTCAGTAATTCAGTCTCCTGCCAGGCTCAGATTGAGACACCTGGGTTCATCTATTCTATCTGAGCATGAAGATGGTCATTTCGTTGAGGTGATGCTAAAGCAGAGGGATAAGGACAAGGCTCTCAGAATTCCTGGGTTTCGGCGACAAGGCCTAGTTACAGCTCTAATGAGCACATTTGTCTCTCTGAATGTCTCTGTCTACCTGTCTCTCCATCACTCTATCTCTGTTTCTCAGTCTCTCTCCATCTCTCTGTCTGTTTCTGTCTCTGTCTCTGTCTCTCTTTCTCTCCTGTTCCCTATCAGCAATGAGGGCTAAGAATAGTTGCCATGTTCCTGAAGCATCAGCGAGATCCATAAGCTTGCTTTTGCAAAGAAGAGACCTAACTCCTCGTCAGAATGTCCAACTGCTACTGAGACAAGCTCTGCAGGCATGGAGGATAGACACTGAGAGAAGGTTATGGAAGACAGGAGGAGGAGTCCTGGCTGTGGCAGAGTAGAGAGGGTGCCCTTCCACCGTGGGTGGTATCTCTGTGGTGACAGCAGAATAATGTGCCTAACAGACCTCAGATGAAGCCCAGAGCTGTCAAGATGAGGTGCATCAGGGAAGAGGGGTCAAAACCCCCAGTTGCTTTCCTGGAGCAACCATCTCATGGATCCTGTAGAGCTGGGAGGAACCCTTGGTACAGGCAGGAAGGACTAGTGCGGTGAAGCACTGAAAGGCTCTGGAATGGTTCTTTGTGAGCTTTGCTGTCCTCAGTAAAGACGTGACATTAAGAGTCAAGTGTTCCATCAGAAGAAGGAGAAAAGAGGGAACAAGTCAGGAGCCTGACACAGAGGACCTCTGAAAAGCTCTGCCCTGCAGACTATCAATGTAAATACTGAGACAACCTTTGGGCAGAGTGCAGGGAATCTTAGGAAAGAAGTGAGAAACAGTAAGATCTGGAGAGGACAGGAACTCCATAAGGAGAGCAACAGAACCAAAAAATCTGTGCACAGGGGTCTTTCCTGAGACTGCTATTCCAACCAAGGACTATGCATGGAGATAACCTAAGACCCCTGCACAGATGTAGCCCATGGCAGTTCAGTATCCAAGTGGGTTCCATTGTGATAGTAACAAGTGATAGGAACAGGGACTGTCTCTGACATGAACTAATTGGCCTGCTCTTTAATTACCTCCCCCTGAGGGGGAAGCAGCATTACCAGGCCACAGAAGAGGACAAGGCAGCCACTCCTGATGAGACCTAATTGACTAGGATCAGAAGGAAGGAAAAGGGATCCTCCCCTATCAGTGGACTTGGGGAGGGGCATGCATTCAGAGGGTGGAGGAAGGGAGGGATTGGGACAGGAGGAGGGAGGAAGGGAACGGGGGGGGGGGGATACAAAGTGAGTAAAGTGTAATTAATAAAGAAAAAAAAAGTCAAGTCTTCAGAGGTAGCCAGGGATAACCCTGATCAAAGGGAACCTGAGCCATCAACTGAGCAAACACTGTGGAGATAAAGACTTTAAGATCAATCAGATCCTGAGGTCAGAGGGAGGCCAGGGAGGGGTAACATCAGAACTCATTTTAAACAGTGTGGGTAGATGTCCCACGGATGTCCCTGTAGATTTGTCCTTTTGGTCTGTGGATCCGTAGGTTTCTATAATAAGAGGTTTTTCTATGCCACCTTTGGCATGTACACCAGGGACATAGTGGCTGCTTAACACATATTTGCTAACATGATTTTGCTATAATTCTATGTGGTTCTAGGAGGAGAGCGATCAAGGAAGAAATAGGGTGAGAAAGGAGTCTCTGAAGTCCCCAGTGTGACCCAGCCCATCCTGCTGTGTCTAGCGGAAAGTCCAAGAACAGGATGAGGAAGGGTCGTCTCCCAGTCAAAATACCTTGTTATATTTGCAGCAGCAAGACTGAACCCAGACCCAGACTCTCATTTGAGTTTATAGTGGAAGAAAAGACTCATGACAGGGACTATGACCATCATTTGTCACAGGCTGTCTCTGCTTGCCAGTCAGAGACAGATGCCTGGGATCTGGCAAGGACAAAGAGAAGTGTGGCTCCTACATCCAGAAGACTGGCCACAGACCCCTGTCTCCTGTCCTTCATGTTTTGTCGTGACTGTAGCTTAGGAACCAACAGTTCACTGCACTGAGAGTCTGACCCTATGACCCTAGCATTAGTGATGCCATTGTGACCTTTCTTCCAGAGATCACAAGCTTCCCCGACCCCTACTGTCTACCCTTCTAGGTCCATCCATCTAATGGCCCTATAAGCCTCTCCAATCTGATTTCCCCCTTGGGATACCCCTAACATTCTCTTTACCTGAATGAAGCTCAACTCAGAGCCGAGGACACCTAGGCTGAGATCAGTCCATCCTTTGTCTCCCATGGTTATCCATTTGTTCTTGTAGCAAATAGATGCCCTAGGAGGTTAAAGAGCTTGATTTGTGGCCATTGACAGCCACTTCTAAAGAGATTATGTCCTGATGCCAAGCACTGGTGTGGAGGACAGACATATCTGGAGCAGGGAGGAGACACACAGACCACTGTGCCTCCTGATGCTGGCCAAGGCCAGAGGTTCTTCTCTGCGCTGCCCACATCCCCTTATGCTACTTTAACTCAGTTCGGCATATGTACACACCCTGCTCCACAAGCAGGCAAGGGGACCTGAGAAAAAGCTCACTTTCCTTCCAAGTATTGAGAGCTTGTGAGGGAGAGCCAAGGATAGAACCTGGATAACATGTGAGGGGGGTCCCGAAACAGGCTCAGAGGTGCTAAGCCACCCCCTGACATCATACATCCAGGAGATTATGAGTAAAGGCTGGGGTTTGAAGCAAAATCGGGAAGAAAGCAAGGCTGAGACAATGAGGCCAGGTATTTCTGAGGTGCAGGCATGGAAGTAGAAGGCCAAAGGCTGTGGGATGGGTGCCCAGAGAACAGGTCTGTATGCCCAGACTCATCTCTTCCTATGCCACCTTCACCAAAGCCTTTCCCCTTCCTAATTTACAAGGAAAGGAGTGGCATTATAAACAAGAGCTCTGGATCAGTTTTCCCAGAGTGAAAACAAATGCTGCTCATTGCCAGGCTGAACTTGGGGTCAGAATTGTGAGTGGGGATAAGGTCTTGTTCAACTTTGGGCCTAGGGTGGCCCTGCACATATCAGTGCTCTCTGTGTCTGCAGACCAGGGAGACAGCAACAACGCAGATTCTCATCAAAAGTAGCATTCAACATTTTCTAAAGGCTGGCTGGCCCTGCCCTTCGCTCCTCCTGGGGAGGGCGGGGGGGGGGGTCCCTGCGGATGGAGAAGTCCCTCATCTAGGAAACATGTACAGGGTTGATGTGCAATCTCCTGCTCCAGGAATAACCTGACTTTCCCCTCCCAGGCTGCTTGGCTCCTATTCCAAAATACACTATGGCTACCTTCCCGATGCCCTGGTGGACCTCACAGGAGGAGTGGTTACCATCGTCAACCTGCACTCCTCCCCTTCTGATCTCCTGATGGCAGTGAAGAACGCAGTCAAGGCAGGCTCCATGGTGGCCTGTGCCACACCAAAGGGGGTGAGTATATAGGGGCTTCCTTGGTACCCAGAGAGTTTTTCTTCACCCGAGAGTATCCATCCAGAGCTCTTAACTTGGGAGAAGACAGATTTCAATCTGTATCTTTCCTCTGAGATAGGGATTCCAAACTCACATCATAGAAGAAGAGATGAGTTCAGAGAGACTACATAACATTTCAAAGTCACACAGCTATGGGGTGCTGTGCACAATTTAATGCAGCCAGCCACCCAATCCTCGCATATTGCTTCCTTCTGAGCAGGAGCAGCGTGCGGGCCAGGGTGACCAGAAGGATTGTCAAATGTTGGAGAAAGTAACTGTAGCTAGTGGTAGCTCCACTGTGTTTTCTTTATATTTATGATTCTGGCCAGTCATTGGAGTAGCAGACCTCATCATTTGCATAACGTCCAAATTACTTGAGTCTATTCTAAAGCACCTGGCTCCCTGTCTACATGACACTTCCTGTACTCTTAAACATTGGCCAAGTAGTCACTTCCCCTCGCAGAGGAATGCTGTTGAGGGCAGGAGACCCTGATGACCTGTGTTACACTATGTCTTGCTTGTGACAAATGATCAGTGGAGCAAACAGCCCATGCCCTCAGGTCCTGTGAGTTTCAGAGTCAGTGGGGTAGGTAGCTCCTGGGCATGTAACACTGAGACCTCTCACTCAGTAGCCTTCACTTCTAAACTCTTAGGAAGGGTCACACACACACTCATAAACTCACACATTCACACACACACACACACACACACACACACACACACCTCTTTCCTGCTGGGTGGCGCTCACTAGCTCAGCTGCTGTCTGAATGTTTTTTGTTTGTTTGTTTGTTTGTTTGTATGTCTCCAAAGAACTCTGTTCTTTCCCTTCTACAGCTGACAGAAGAGTCAGAGGTGATGGAGAATGGACTGGTGAGCCAGCATGCCTACACAGTGACTGGAGCTGAACAGGTAAGGCTGAGCTGCTGGCCTGATCTGGTCCCTGGGGTCCTCCTTACAGGAGCCAGCAAATCAGATGCCTGTGGGAAGCCCAGTGGCTGGAAAGCATGTACCTACCTCTCACCCTGCCATAGCTCCAGCAGTCTCAACTCCTTTTCCAAAGTTATGGTACCTAGGGTCCTTCTCTCCAGGACACTTCTCTCCATGTTTGTTTGTTTGTTTGTTTTTAATCTCTGTGATAATGGAGATGGGATCTACTCCAAAGGGAGGTAGAATGAATCACTCAATTGACTTTAGGGAAAACTTGACCCTGAAACTCATTTCATTTGTGACATAAAAACTAAACCAATAGAACAAAAGTCCTCTAAACTACAGGTACTTACAAAAGAGAGCATGTATTTCTCTCTTATGTAAGCAGATGATTCTGGGTCGTGGGTGTCTTTTAGTCCCTGCTGCATTGCTGTGAAGAGACACGGTGACTAAGGTAACTCATTAAAAACGCATTTAACTGGGACTTGCTTAGTTTTGGAGGGTTAGAACATGATCGTCATGATAAGAATCAGACAGGCATGGTGCTGAGAACTTTACATCCTGATCCACAGGCAGGAGGGAGAGACCAAATCTGGTGTAATCTTTTGAAACCTCAAAGCCCACCCCCAGTGACACACCTCCTCCAGCAAGGCCACACCTCCTAATCCTTCCCAAACAGTTCAGCTAATTGAGGACCAATCATTCAAATATATGAGCCTATGAGGACCATTCTCCTTCAAATCGTCATGGGGGTAACTCTGACATAAAGAGCAGGGGATTCTACCTGTGAGTTCAAGATGCATGCTGTACCTTTGTCTTGTAGCTTTGGAAAAGAATGAGGCCAGGGGCCATTCTTTGTTCTCCATAGTGGACAAGAATAAAAAAGACATCCAACACACACACACACATACACACACACACACACACACACACACACACACACACACACACACACATACCATTAGCTTGCATTTAATACTCCAGCCATACAGTGTCCTGAAAGAGGCTGGGAAATCCATTTCCTAGCTGTTTCTATCTGTTCAGGTCCAACTGGACTCCATGATGGGGTCGGCAGTCTATAGAAGAACTGACTGCAAATGAATAAAAATGTGTGTGTGTGTGACTTCTGGATACAGCATAATCCATCTAGAAAATACTACCAAAGTCCAGCTATCTTCATTCTGAAATGAAGAATCTGAGGGATGATGGGAAAATCATGTTTCTGAAGGTCACAAAGATGATGACCTATGAGATAGACAGCTGCCTGGCACCTGGCCTCCCCAGTTTGCATCTGAAGTCATCAAACACCTGTGCAGTGACATTTCCTAACTTCCCAAGGGTTTTCCTGCAGCGTCCCTGACACCGTATTTCCCACTGCTCTTGAGTCAAACATGGTTTCTATGCCCTACAGGACAGAGTTCCAAACTCCAAGGCAAATTTTCCAAAGGTACCTGTGACCTGGGTAACGCAGAATTTCAAGCACCTTCTGTGGCCTTCTCAACTTGTCCTAATTCTTTGGTGCCAATCTATCTTTCCCATCCATCATCTTAAAGCCGGTTGCCCCATTGTTTCATATCCTAGTTCACAGCATGAGGGACTTTATTCTGTCCCCTACCTGCTTCCAAAATGGTAACCCAGCATCAATATACTTGAAGATAGTTGGCATCTAATAAACGCTTGTGGAATGGATGGATGGAGTTGAATGCATGAATGAATCCATTTGCCCTAGCCTGAGAAAATGACGTTGCTATTTCCCTATCACAGAATATAAGACAAAGGCCTACAAGGCATTTCCATGAGCAAGGTCATGGTAGCTGAGACTCCAGTCCTTAGAATTGTGTATCAGATCCCCTGCCCTACTTTCCCAACCTCTTCCATGAATTGTTGATGAAGACAGTCAATATTATCATCACACTGGACATATGTAGATGCTCCATTTCCTATAGCCCCACTATCCCAGATGTGCACAAGTCTCAGGTTTGCAAATAGATTTTATCTCATGTGGCAGCTGTGGTCACTTAGCCATGTTGTCTGGGTTTCTATGTTGATAAGACTTTGATATTGCTTACAGACTTGGAGAAAGAAAGCGGTGGTCGGTTAGCGATATCTGTGGTGAGCATGGGAGGAGAGCATGGTCTGAACAGAGCACCTGCTCAGGGATGACAGTGATCAGGACTGCATGGCCTGTATAGTCCTGCCCTCCTTTTCTAAGCAGGTGTCCCATCACAGAATAATAGACCTTCAGGATATGTTCTCTGAAAACAGATACATCTTTAGAATGCATCTCGCCATTTCTGCCTCTGCAGGTGCAGTGTCCATGAAGAGGCTAACGGCTTTGAGAGCGCCTGCATTAGTGCTACTTAGTTTTAATCAACCATTAACAATGACCCCACAGTTTCTGGCATGGAACTATTAATAGTCAATTGAGCTAGCATTCACTAGAGAAAATACATCGAAGGAGCTGCTATTTAGAATAGGTAACCCGGGCTACCTCTTGTCCAGTGACATCTTTGCTGAGACCAAGACCTGACCAAAATGAAGAGAATGGTCAGATCACTGAAGATCACTTGGCACTCCTAGCTATAGCCTACTTACGTATCAATTGGTCAGGGTCATAAAGGACACACGGGCTCAGGGATTTGAGTTTGTTAGAGTCTCTCTCCCCGTGGGGAGCGAGACGGCTATAACTCTGAGCCACAAGTGCTAAGATTAAAGCAGCCTGTAAATGTAGTATGCTCTTTAATCTCCTCACCCTCCCTCCAGGCAGGACACAGACAGGAAGATAAATGAAATTGGCATTTTTTATTACGCACCTAGCTCTGCCGGCAACTCCCCTGGGCCAAGGGGTGAGTGTTTATCTGCATGCCTCATTTAGCCTCACTCTGAGCCCTCTGAATCATGGGCTATAGTTCCTCCTCATGACCAACTGAGCCCCCGACTCTACTGGGCACCCAGGGGGGCTCATTATTCTCTGCAGCACACCAGGTGACTGTTTCTTATGCCCCTGCTTGGTGGGTATTCTGTTTCTTCCCCTGCAAGACAAGCACTGTAAAAGAACCCACCTCAAAGAACTGACAGTAAGTTAGCTTGGGGCCTCTCCACAATTTCTCCTTGTCCAGTGATAAGCTGTTTAGTCTCTCAGCCGCCTCTGCAATGGAGTCGGTGGACAGCTCCATCCTCCCCTAAGTCTTCCATCTCCTTAGACAGCATTAGCATGGATCAATAGCCCAGCTACAACTCAATCATGCTGCAGTCCCCCTCTCCAGGCCGAGGGCTCCTGGCTCCCGGAAGTGTGTGCTGGATGATTTGCTGCAGTTTATTCTGACATCTCCATGGCCCCGCCCTTAACTAATGCAAGAGCACAGGTAATAAATACCTTGAGGGTTGGAGGCAGGGATGACGGAGAAAGGAGGCCTGTTAGAGGCCACCTTCTCAGAGACTGGCGTGTCTGGTTAGGGGTAAGATGTTGATAGAAGAGGGCTAGCCTCGGCTACCCCGGCTCCACTGATGTCTCTTACCCACATCAAACTCCTCACTCACAATACTGTACTATAGGCACCAGAGGTCTGCTGCTAGGGAGGCAGGCTGTACTGGTGGGATGGAGATGCCATCGTGTGATGGATTAGAAGAAGCAGGGGACCACAAAGCTGTCTCCACTACAGCCAAATGCAGCAGCCTATGCTAGCTGTCCACAGTTAAATCTGAGTTCACCCAGCTCCAGGAGACAACACCCAATATGATGGAGCTGCCCCTGCACCTGCTGGGGCTGAGCAAAACAAGGGTCATTTTCATCCCCTGCTACACTTTCTCTCTCCCTCTCTCATTCCAGCTCCATGCAGGCGGCAAGAGAGACATTGATTTTTTTTCTTCTTTTCATTTTTCTCCTGGCTGCAGCCAAATGAGGTCAGGAGTTAAATTAGTCCTGGGAGGTAAAAGCAGCTGCATTCATACTTCAGTTCTCTGCCGACTTTGGCCAGAGAGCCCTGACTGTTGCTTTTTCTGTTCTTCCTTACAGATTCGGTACCAGAGGGGCTGGGAAGAAATCATCCGCCTTTGGAACCCCTGGGGCAACACAGAATGGAGAGGGCGCTGGAAAGATGGGTATGGGTGATGGGCACACGGGCAGGTGAAGATTGTTCCCAGAATGTGGGCAGGGTCTGGCTAGCCCACTGCAGTCCACACTACAGGCCTGGCCATATTCATCCCTGGGTACAGCTATGAGTACACTAACACTCCCAGGGTTTCATTTCCTAGGCATCAATCAGGCACCTGTGAAGTGCATGACACCAAGTGTGAGCTGGGCTAGGTAGGTGCTGTGATATGTATACAAATGGTAAGACCTGGTGCCTGCCTTCAGAAGGTCTTTGCAACCTCACGGACGTACCCAAGATTAGCAAAGAGGGTGAGAGACAGAATGGGAGCTGAGCTTCCCCTTGAGAAGAGATAGCTAGAGAATAAGAGCATCCTTCCAGAAAGGGGTTCCTCGGATTCAGATGCTGATGAGGCCACATGATCAGCATGGAGTGAGCTTCGTGGGTAGAGCTGAGACAATGATCTGGGTGAGCTTTTTCCTGAATAGACTCGGCTGTTCCTGACACCTGACCTGGACTCAGTGTACCAACATGCCTGCAAGTAGCTCCTTGCTCATGGCGGGGGGTGTGGAGTAGCTAGGCCTCCAACACCGCCATGAGCAACTCTGCAACCTCCCCCAGGTGCCAGCATGGTCATCTCAGCTGCCGTAGCCTGACCTCTGTTGCCCTACTTGCCTTTTATGTGCAATTAAATATCTAGTTTCCACATGATGAGAGAGAACATTCAATATTTGCCTTTCTTTTGTCCCTCTCATTATGCTCTCTTCCTCCCACCCCAGTCCCCAGTACCTTGACGACTGACAGGGAGAAGGTAATAGATGGAGGACGGTGGACAGCAACAATTTACTTGCTTCTCTTGGTGGTCAGTGGGGCTGGGACTGTCACATTCCACTCAGGACCTGTGCAGACCTGTAAAAAGCATCATAGTGCCACGACTGCAGCCTCACTTCCAGCAGAGTAGGAGCATGATCAGAAAGGAAGCGCAATGTGTCAGACAGATGGAATAGCACCCAACAAGTGGTGAAAATCAACACAGTGCTCACAGTGAGCTCCAGAAGGCACATGCCGACAGCCTGGGTTGCTGGACCAGCTGCCAGCACTCCAGCTGGGCTCCCCGGGCCAAGCTAATGCAAGACCCCTTGATTCGGTGTGGGCCCTGGGGCTGGGTGTGCACCTGGTCTCATGGGCACTCAGCAACCAGTGTGAGATGAAGGTATGATGGAGGATGAGAGAGAGAAGAAGAAGAAAAAGAAGAAGAAGAAGAAGAAGAAGAAGAAGAAGAAGAAGAAGAAGAAGAAGAAGAAGAAGAAGAAGAAGAAGAA